ATTGCTGAGAAGGAAGTTCTGGCCGTCATTCGGGTTCTTCGAACATTCAAGGCCCTGATCGAAGGCTGTCCACTCGTGGTGTACACCCGATACTCGGTGTTGAAGTGGGTGATCAAGTCCAAGACTGCGGATGGGCGAACTGTGCCATGGGGCGTTGCCTTGTCACAGTACGACCTGGACATCCGGAAGGTACAGAAGGACGAAGACGGCTTGGCCGCCATCCTGGGTGCTGGTATAACGCCCAGAGAATATTTGGACGAGATTGCCGAATCCCTGATTCCGGCTAAGGGACGTGTCAAGGCACCCCCAGTGGTGAGTATCGAGATGCTCGAGGAAGATTACCAAGGTGTCGTCCTAAGTTTCGACGGAGCCGCCAAGACGTCGACCAGGAGGGGTAGCTGCGGTTGTATCTTATGGCGACTTCCCGAATGGAAGATCATCGAAGCGCGAGGATATATCCTGGATGATGTCACGGTGAACGATTCGGAATACTACGGATTGTTACACGGCCTGAAGTTGGCACGTGAGCATGACATCCAAGACCTTGTTGTCGTAGGTGACTCGAGGATCGTGATCCAGCAAGTTCAAGGACTAATTAACTGCAACAAGCCTAATCTGCAACGGAGACTGGCTGAGTGCGAAGTGCTACGGAAGAGATTCAAGACAGTCAGGTTGGTGCACGTCAAACGTGACTTCAATCAGGCAGCCGACTACTTAACATCCAAGACACTCGCTCTTGGGGAGTCCTGGACGGTTCAAGATGACGAAGAAATCCGGCACCTGGAAGTCGTGTCCAAAATCCAGGAGCAGATGACGAAGCGGCCAGAGGTGGTCCAGGATGCAGAAGTTGGTGTCCAGAAGGTGATCGATGAGGAAGTCCTGACCAGCGATGTTCCAAAGCCTGGTTAGGTGCTTGTCCTGAAAGTAACCTCCTGAACCCGGAGTGCGCACCGTTACCACCTGCCGCCCGCGTGATGGCTGTGCTCACTCGAGCTGCAGCTCAAGCCGATGCTCAGGGGCGCCCACCCATGGGACCCTTGGAATATCAGGCGGAACGTTGGAGGCGGATAAAGGCTCATCAGGATGAAAAACGAGTCCCTCAAAGACTTGATAGATTTCCTGAATGACGACATGGGTCGATTCTCTCCGAGGCG